TTAACATGAAGATAACAGGCTTACAGTCACTATGAGAATAAAAACATAGTCAAAATTAGCTAGAGAACATTCAGTCAATCCTCATTATGAATATTTAAATTTTCCAAGAATAGCAAAAACTTTTCCCATATTTTTTGGAACACATAGTATTTACCCTTAATCATAAAGGTGAGTTTCTCCAAGGCAAGAGAGCTTGATAATGTAGACATCCAAGTTTTTATTTGTGGTCTGGTTACAGATTTCCAGGACCTGGCTATACTATATTTAGCCTGCACCAAACAATAAATGATGGACTTTTGATCGACCTGGCTTATTTGAGTTTGAGTGGGAAAAATTCCTAAAACACACAACCTAGGACAGAGATTGAGATCAGTACCAATGATAAGTGAAAGTTTGTCCAAAACCTCCTTCCAAAATTTCTGGATCTCAGGACATTCCCAAAGGCAATGAATCAAATTGCCTTTATCTCCACACTTAGCACATGTATCCGGGATGTTGGAATTGAATTTATTTAGTAATGTTGGAGTAACATAGGTTCTCATCAACCATTTGTATTGGATTAACTTAAATTGAGTATTAATAGATTGTGTCTGTGCCTTTAGACAGGCCCTCTGCCATTCCTCTACTGATATGTTACATTTCAAGTCTTCACACCAAGCCAGTCGTTTGTGCTCTGAGGATGTCTGGGAGCTGTCTTTGATGATGTTGTAAAAGCGGGATATTAAGCCCTTCTTCAAATGGTCATTTGTTGCCAATTCTTCTATCGAAGTAAGAGTAGGCAATGTTAAAGACTTTTGAGTACCCAAGACGAAACTTCTGATTTGCAAAAACTTAAAAAAATGTTTAGTTGGAAGGTCAAATTTTTGTTTCAAATCTTCAAACCTCATCATAATCCCCTTATCAAATAACACTCACATTTTATTTATCCCGAATGTGTAAAGGAAATAAATAAACGGATTAATTGAATCAGGGCGGCACGGTGAAGGTTCTGGGTTGGAGTCCCCGGGGGAACCAGGACCAGAGGGTTCTGGGTTATAGTCCCCGGGGGAACCAGGACCAGAGGGTTCTGGGTTATAGTCCCCGGGGGAACCAGGACCAGAGGGTTCTGGGTTGGAGTCCCCGGGGGAACCAGGACCAGAGGGTTCTGGGTTGGAGTCCCCGGGGGAACCAGGACCAGAGGGTTCTGGGTTGGAGTCCCGGGGGAACCAGGACCTTTCTGGGTGGTTCTGCATGTTCTTCTGTGTCTGTGGGTTCTCTCCGGGTTCTCCGGCTTCCTCCCACCGTCCAAAAACCTGCATGTTAGGTTGTTGGACTCCAAACTGCCCTTAGTGTGAGTGTGTGTGGTTGTTGGTCCTTGTGTGTCTCTGTGTGTCCCTGTGATGGACTGGGGACCGTCCAGGGGGACCCCGCCTCTCCCCATTGGCTTCTGGGATAGGCTCCGCCCCCCAAACCCCATTAGGGAATAAGCGGTATTGATAATGGATGGATGGATTGAATAATTTTAATGTGTGAAAAGGGGGATTTCCTGTTGTTAATAATGAACACTTCCCTTTCAAAGAAGATTTTTTTAACAAGCGACATGTTTTTGAAAAATCTAATAAATTAAATGAGTAGTAAGTGAGTAAAAGTAAGTGAGAAACAAAGTGAAATGTCAAATCTGAGCAGTCATTTTCTGAGGCGCCATAAAACACGATGCTGCGACTGGAGCAGACGGCTAATAACGCATCTCAGTTCCTCTGTTTATCGTCTTATGTTCTTTATTTATTTATCGTCCCTGTGTTTGAACAGACTAAGCTGCCAGCGTTGGAGAACCCCCACTCGGCCAGTGTTCGGTCCCTCATCCACTCTCTGGACAGCCAGAGTCTCTGCGCGCGCCGGGTGAGCCGCCGACAGCACAAAAACAAAACTAATAACACAAAAACAAAACTAATTACACAAAAAGATCTCAGTTGTGACAGAGCCTTGCGCTCCTCGGGTCAGCTTCTGTTAGACGTCCCCAAGTCAAGACTCAAACTGTGGGGCGATCGTTCTTTTGCCGTCGCTGCTCCCAGACTGTGGAACAAA